CCAGCCAGGTCGTGCAGCGCTTTAGCAGGAGCCGTGTCTTCCCAAAGGCCTTATCCCGTCCTTCCCACCGGCAACCCTTTCCCTGGCCTCGTGGCGGTGGCCCCATGCGCTGGTGTCCGTGCACCAAGTGCCACCCACCTGTTCCCTSTCGTGGGACCCAATGCACGGGAATGGTGAGTGCGACCGCCACAAGTCACCCCTGTTCCGCTGCAGGGRCTCATCGTTTCTTGCCAAGCCAACAAAATAGCATTATTTGATCAAAATGATGTCAGGTAGCAGGAAAAAATCTTGCAGTCAGGGCAGCCACCACAAGAAGAATTGCAAAGCACTTATCCCAGCCTTGGCTCCCGTCTCCTCTCTCTCCCCGCTGGTGTGACGCTGCCAGTGTATTGCTGGGAATTGCATCCGTCAGAGAAACAAATGCCGGCTTCCCGTTCTTTCCAGGAGAAAGATGTCAAATGTTGTTTTTCAATATAAATTTCCATGTCGTGGTCTTTCACTTTTATCCTTTGGCTGGTTCATCATGTGAACGGTGGTCCCTAACTCATGTTTTTCTCTAATTCAGCAAGGTACTTCTCCCTTACAGAGAAAGAAGAGCAGAAGGGCACATGAGGTACAGTGGAGGTGAGGAGAGAGAAACACAGAATATATAATAATATAATATATATTTTATTTGATTTTATATAATGTATAATTGATTGTATATAATATATAATCAAAATTCTGCATCKGCCTTGAAAATGATGTGTTTGTTCAGCCAAGTAAACCCGCCAGTTGATCACGGCAGTGCTGGTGCAGCCGATTGCAACAAAATGTGTGGGAAGGCCCCAAATGCTAGGAATGTCCTGCGAGCCTGAGATGGGTCCGGGCTCCTTGGGGCCRCGCGTCACGGCAGCCACGCGGCCACAGCTGACTGGTGGGAACAGTGCTGGGACAGCAGCCTCCCCAGCACTGCGGCGCTGCCAGCTGATGGAAATTCCTGYTTCTCCAGCGTGAGCAAAATGCCAGCTGAGAAAATGCCCAGTGCATTATCCTGCAGCAGACAAAACAAATTACTGTGCTTCTTGTGAACCAGTTACATACAGAATTAAGCTGGCCTTGGTAAATCTCTGCTGGAGTTCAACTCRGGTGAGGAAGTGTTGCTCCCCATGAGGATTTCTCCACCACTGGCAGACACAGGGGTGATTTAGGCCATCTAGGAGAGCTGGTCCCCCTTCCACGAGCGAGTTGCTCCATACAGGGCAGGTGAAGAGCTAAGTTTGCAAAGCACTTGGAATAAGGAAAAATCCTGGAGAGTATCAGCGCAGTGCGTGAAGTCGAGTGAAGCTGCTTGTTGCTCAGTTGAGGCCAAAGTCAAGTCCTTTAAATGTTAAACACCCAGCACCACTTATTTAGTGAGAACATTGCTTACCTGGATCCCTGTGTGCTCTTGTCTTCTCGTACTAGACCAGAAACCGAAAACTTAGGTAGCCTACCTGGCTGAAACAGCACCCTTGGACAAACCAACTCCTTCGAGTCACCTTTCTCACTCATCTAAAGCATGAATGAAATAATATTTTCTCTTGCCTTTATGTGAGTAAGACCCAGTCCCGAAGATGATGTTCCAGCATCTGGAAGTGGTGGAAAGGATGCTCACCCGGAGCATCCTGTGGCGGCACGGATGGGCAATGCGGCCGCCTGGAGCGCTGTGCTCGGCAAGGACCCCAGTTGGAGTTAGTCACTGTCGCACAAGCTGCTCGACAGCAGGAACCAGCTGTGGCCTTCATCCGCCTAGGGTTTTACACAGATTTTGTATGCGTGATGCACATTAGGATCATTATTATGTAGCTGTTTTCACTAAAATCACCAACATTTTCACTGTGAGAGCAATAAAGGCTGCATGGGTTGGGACCTCTTCAAGTCCATCCTTCTTCCCCAGCTCTAGCAATCTGCTCCTAAGAAGTATTTCTTTACCCTCTTCTTAAAAACATCCACAGAGAGCCTGGCTGTTCCTCCCAGGCCATCTTCTCCAGTGCTCTTTATGGTAGAAGGCTTTCTGTGCTTTTCCTTGCAGCAATTTAAGTCTGTTACCTGCCTGTACCTCATGAGGATGGAAAACAAATTTTTCCCTTCATCTTTGTAGCACCTTTTTTGCAAACCATCCTCAAGTTATGACTGCAGAAAGTCTTATCAATATGCTGGTGGTGACTGTTGAATGGATGAAATTTTACTCTGATCATTGATGATTTTTCTGCCAGAACTTTTTAGCCATATCTTCTTTTTCAGTATCTATTGCTTTCTGCTGAAAGTGAATATGCTATTCACATATGCTTCCTCAAGTACATTTTGCAAAGCAATTTTCTTTTTAGTGTAGCTGTCAGCAGATGACTCTGTGTAGTGTCAGTCATACACACACACAAAAAAATTTGCATCCCTTTTCTGTATTCTCCATATAATGTGCTCCCCGCTTTCTACATACAGCTTTTCTGACACCACTTAATGGGTCGGCCTTACATCTGCCATTACAAGATTTTTTTTTTTGTGCATCATTTTGTATGAATTCTGTAGTGAGACAGCCTTTTTCTTGCTATCAGTTAATATGTTTGCTTTTTTTGCACCAGCCACTCCACCAGGACAAAATTACTAGGAAAACGCTGGATATGCAGCAAGACAAACAAGAAATAATATGTAGCTGATGGAGGCTGACCTGATTTCACAGAATCACAGAATGGTTGAGGTTGGAAGGGACCTCTACGGATCATCTAGTCCAACCCCCCGCTCCAGCAGGGACACCCAGAGCAYGGGGCACAGGGTGACATCCAGGCAGGTTTGGAAGATCTCCAGAGAAGGAAACTCCACAGTCTCCCTGGGCAGCCTGCGCCAGCACTCTGTCCCCCTCACAGGAAAGAAGTTCCTCCTCACATGCAGAYGGAACTGCCTGTGTTTCAGTTTGTACCCATTGCTCCTTGTCCTGTCACTGGCCACCAAGCTCAGCTTTGTATTACTGCATATGATAAATTTTAATATCACTCCCAAGACTGTGTGAACACATTCAATTATGCAATGTTAATTTGTGAGCAAACCAGTATTTTGTTCAGCTTATTACAACTATGCAAAATTTTGCTGCAGCTGCATCTGTACATAGATTGTTAATAATGCATTTCTTTTGAACATGAATAATAGAACAATTACTATCAGCAAACAGTTCTTCATTGGTCTATAAACTGCGTGGTTTTACACATTTAAGGAACCATAGCTAACTCTTCTTACTGCACAGTTGCTACTTACATAACTATGTGTAAATAGATAACATTTTGTATTTCCAAAACAAATGATATTCTTTGCCTACTACTATTCAGAAAAAGCTGCTACTTTCTGAAGTCTCTCGTGTGTCATGATATGCGAGGCGTTCGGCAGATGTCGGGGTGATGCTTATCCAGCTCGCAGAGCGCGGCTGTAGGGCGTCGCGGGTCGCCCTGCGCCGGTGGCAGCGCCCGGCACAGACCTGCATGCCCACACGGTGCCCGCAGCACATCCCCTAAGAGCTCATACAGCTGTAATCTTAGTGAGATAGAGACACTGCCGTGGCTTATGCTTTCAGAAGGTGTTTATGAATGTCGACAAATCTGTGTTGATTAGAAACTTGCAATTCAGTGGCTGTGGGACAGCTATTTGCAGGACTTTTTCACACAGGAACCCTGGCAATTTTTTAATTACATATGGATAGCAATATTTCTTCATTTGGTTAAGAGTCATGCTAACAAAACATGCAACCTGAAGAGTGCTACTGGACAAATCCCAAATGTGCRAAGGCTACAAATATTCTTAATGACCACAGGATGATGACACAAACACGACACTCAGCAAGCTTTARTACTGTGTGACAGAAACGGGCGAATACCATCCCAGTAGCTTTCTGAAGAATTTGGTATGTCCTAGATGAAAGCCGCACAGTGACCTGCCGGCTAAAGGAGGATGATATTGCAGGTTATTCAGTGACGCACAGTTACTGCAGTCACTGCCGTGTGTGCACCGTGTGCTGGGTGCTTTACTGGGTACCCATGAAAACCGCAGGGGATTCGGTGAGCTGCCGCTTGGGCAACACAGCCAGGATGTGCTTCGTGGTGCTCGTTGCTCCTTCGCCCAAGCCCCAGAGAGGTGACGACTTCCACGACCRCCCAGCCCAGGCCATGGGGGTTCATCTGAGGCCCCATGGCTACAATGGGGGTTRCTCAGACCTCCCCTCTCGCCTTTGTGGTCTGAGAGGTGCAGAAAGACAATCCCGACGGTGAAGGGAGGGCTGGAAGGAAAGCAGTACGGCTGCTCCTGCCGCTGCAGTGACCGCACAAAGCCGGGCCTGGGGCAGCGTGACCCTCACCCTGACTCCGGGAGCTGGCAGGGATGGGTGCTTGTCCCACGGCAGGAGAAAACCCGGGGGAAATCAAATGGGGAGAAGAAAGGGGCAAGTTTCTGTCAGTGGAAAAGATGAAGAATCCTTGTTGGGATAGAAACCTGTCCTCTCTACAGCCCCATGGAAGTGAGAGCTTGGACAACCGAAAGGAGTGGACAAAGGTGGGGAAGCTCCTGAGAAGGATGGGCCTGTGAAGGAAAGCTTGAGTGTTATTCCTTTGGCTCTGTGCTTGGAGGGCCCCCGCTCGGCGCTACAGCGGATCTCCGGGTGTGCGCGGGAGAGCCGCGCGCGGCCCCGCTCCCCGAGGGCGGCCCCGCTCCCCGAGGGCGGCCCCGCTCCCCGAGCTCGGCGCCGCTCTGCGGGACCCCGCGCCGGGCCCCGCTCCGCACAGGTAAGCGGCCCCGCCGGGACGGCCAATGGCGGGGCCCGCCCGCCGCCGCCAGCCAATGGGAGCGCGCCTGGCCGCGGCCCCATGGAAATGTGCCCGGTGGGCAGCCAATGGGCGTCGGGCGGCGCGGCGCTTTATCAGCTGCCAGGGCGGGCGGCGCGGAGCGCAGCGCAGCGGAGCGCAGCGGGCCGCGGCCTCCCCGCGGCGGCAGCAGCAGCGGCAGCAGCATGGCCGGTCTGGGCGGCGGCCCCGCCGCCTTCGGGCGCTGCACGCACGCCGTGGTGCGCGCGCTGCCCGAGTCGCTGTGCCGGCAGGCGCTGCGCTCCGCGCCGGGCCCCGACGTGGACTTCGCCCGCGCCGAGCGCGAGCACCAGCTCTACGTGGGCGTGCTGAAGAGCAAGCTGGGGCTGCAGGTGCTGGAGCTGCCGGCCGACGAGAGCCTGCCCGACTGCGTCTTCGTGGAGGACGCGGCCGTGGTGTGCGAGGAGACGGCGCTGCTGACCCGCCCGGGCGCGCCCAGCCGCAGGAAGGAGGTGCGGGGGAGCGCGGCCGGGGCGGCGGCGGGCCCGGCCCGGCCCTGCCCTGCCCGGCCCTGCCCAGCCCCTCCCCGGCGGCGCGAGCGCGGCCCGCGGCCCTGCAACCGCCGCGAGCGACCGTTAAACGGCCGGGGGGAGGGGCGGCGGCGCGGCCGGGGAAATGGCCGAGGCAGGTGGGCGGCGGGGCGGGACCGGCCGCCATCGGCCGCGGCTCGGGCTGTGGCTCGGGCCCCGGCCCGCGCCTTTGCCGGGCTCGCCCCGTGCCGGGGAGCGGCCGCAGCGCGGGACGGTGCTCGGGTGCTCTTGGGTGCCCGTCCCGGGTCCGTGGCGTGGGCGCTTCCTTCAGGAAGCTCCTTGCAGGTGGCTCTGGCACCAGCCCCGGTGCTGTTGGCCCTGGCGCGCCTGGCGTTAGCCTGGGTGTCCTTGCTCCTCGTGCTGCCTTGCTGTGCACCCGCCGCGTGTCCCTGGGGATGGGAGCTAGCGGGGTGCAGGGCTGCACCTAACAGATAGGTGTAAGGGGTACACTGCTGCAGGAGCACTTCTGCTTTGGGTTTAGAAAAATGGATGTACGTAGTGTTTTTGTTTGTTTGGGGGTTTGTTTTCCCCTTCTTAACCTACTTGGTCTCACCATGAACCATWACATGCAAGAGTGAATGTGCCGGTCACCCAATTATCTCTCTTCCTAGGAGTGATAGGAGCAGCAGATAAAACAGCTTTCAATTAATCTGTTCCAATCTGCAATGCCACCATAACAGCAAAACGCTTTCTGTGGTAGCCCTTGGCTTGTCTCTGCCAGTTCCCGTCCTCTCCGTGCTCCCATAGCCCGTGCTGTGACCCRCGGGCCCTACCTGTCGTGGCTGTGAGCATGTGGCTGGGTCAGTAGCTCAAGTGAAACCCTAACAATGCTCAAAGTTGCTCACAGYGCAATGGGGACTGTCTTCATGGCTCCTGTCTTCTTGATTCAGTGTCTTCGTTTAAAAATAATAAAGCTTACTTGCCCGAGTGTTTTGTCCATCAGTGTAAGCCTGAGACATTGCACAGATTTTCCTGTGGTCCTTTCCCTTGGCTTGCTAGTACGCAGCTGTGTGGCTCCCATTGCCCTGTGGACGTAACTGGCCCTTGGAGCAATTGCTCGTGTTTAGAATTTACCCCTCTGTGTAAATGTACCAAGTGTGTGCTAAAATACAAGTGTGTGTTTGGGAGGAAGGAACGTGCTGCTTAGAGCCCAGCAGGTACCCAGGAAGGTGGAGGGGCATCTCTTACACTAATGGGAATGATGGCACTGCCAGGAGGTGGGAGGACTTGACTAAAGCATCAGCTGAAGGAAAGGGGAGTATCTCTTTCCCTTCTGAGGTCTCAAATTGTGCCAATGCAAAGTGAATTTCAAAGGGCAAGATGTGGTGGTGGAATTGAATACAGTGTTGGCTCTAACAATTGGTGAAACYGTTTGAGGGGCAGTAAAGAAATGAACAAGCCTGGAACAAGAAAGCAAAGGACACGGGGTCATTTATAAAAAGAAGCAGATTGTTTCTCCCTGCTGCTTTCGGTGTCATTGATTATTCTGGCACTGCAAAGGTAGTGGAAAAAGATGTATAACCCAAGGTTGCAAGAGGGGTGGTGATCTCTGAAGTTCAGAGATGGGGGGTTGCCAGACTCTTGAGTGAAACAGTGTTGGATGTGAGCACCTGGTATCATTAATCCTCTTTGGGGATTAACAGCAGCTAATTGAGCACCCAAGTAACGGCTTTGTTTTACCTGCCTGATATTTGTAATAGGCAATATATAAAATTTAATTTTTCCATTAACAAAAGCCACAAGATGTGACATTTACTTCTGTAATCCCAAATATTTTAAATTGTTTTAACCATAATTAGATGTTATTTCCTGGCATGCACAAAGATTTAAAAAACTGTGCTGTAGGGGATGCATATGGTAACAATTTATCTTTAAATTACAGACTTTATTGTCAGCTTGAGAATAATACAAAATCCATTAGGTTTGTTTTCTGTTTTTTTGCTTGGCCCATATATGCTTGGCCTGACACCAGGTTTCTTATCCATCAGTTACCTGCTTTGAATGAAATAGTTAAAAAGCGATTTGAAGTAAAGCCCAAATGTGGCATATTCTTGCCTGGAACAGCAGAACAGATTTATTTCTTTCATTATCCAGACATACTTACAAATCTAAAGAAGAGAAAAAGCTTTGAAGCATAATTTGAACCTTATTTGTTTTCTTGGATGATGAGGCAATCCCTGTCATTTCTTTTTGTGAATGAGAAAAAAAAAATCCTCTTAAAATTATAATAATGCATGACACTGCAGTATATTATATTGTTTGTCTGATCGTGTAACTCTTAATTATTTATAATAACTCTTCTTCWGCAACATCATTACAACCCTGCTCTGTGGAGACGGAAGAGGAGGTGATCGGGAGCGGGGCCCTGTCTGCGGGGCGACTCCCGGTCGCTCTGAGCGCCGCAGCTGCCGTGGCTGCAGCTCTAGCTTTGCTGCCCCTGGGGATGTCCCCCTGGGGACCAGCCCTTGGTCCTTTCCCCTGCTCCCTCGTAGAGCGGGCAGGCCTGGGTCTGCTGTGTGTTGGGCACTGGTTGTGTTCAGCAAGCCTGCTTGGAGGGGTTGCAGTGACCGGGCTGTGGTTTGAAAACAATGAGAAGAAAGTAGAGCCGAGGCTCTAGGGCGACCAAACCTCTATGTCAGTGTTTCRCCTGGACCTTGGCTTGCTGGAGTGGCAGGTCTGATGTTTGTCTCCTATGGTGGCAAATGTCTGTGCTACTCTGCTTTTCCYAAAGTGTTCCCCAAGGAACAGTGTTGTTTCTTACAGTTTCCTGACTCCRTCGAGATTCCTTTGTTCGCCTCCCTATTTTTCACTCTTCTTGGATGTATATGGTGCAATGGTTTGGCCAGGCCAACTGCTAAGCCTGCAGCTACTCCAGATATTCAGTGTGGGGTGCCCCTTCCTGAGCAACCTATTGAGAATCCATATCTGCAACATCCAGGAGAAGTTGCTGTTTGAGATTTCTCTCCAGGCTTTGAATCCTCCACTGAGACTCTTGTTGGAATTTTATGAAAAAAAAAGTTGCTAAGAGGCCACTTACAGGATCTGTCGTGCTTAATATCTTTATCGGGCACCTGGAAGAGGTGCAGCCCCAAATTYGGCAGGAGCAGGTAATATGCTTGAAGAGCAGACTGAGAGAAGAGAGAGAAGCTAGGCAGAGAGCAATGGGCTGGTGGGAACCTGATGAAAATCAGTAGGCATAAAGGAAAGGAGGATCCCCTGGCTAGGTGGGGACAGTTCTGCAGAAAGACCCTGTTGACCCACAAGCTGAACAGGAGCCAGCAGCATGTGGTGGCTGGGCTGTCGTGTACTCTGCACCTTCACGGACAGTCACCATATCTAGAGGGCTTATGTCCTGATGAGTCCCCAGTTGGAAGGTTAGAAGCATGAAGCCCTGTGAAAGCAATTGGGCTGTGTTTCTTTGTGCTGTTTCCAGGAGTCTTGGCTCCCACCTCAGCTGGTTCTGGTTCAGGCAGCTTGATATTGGTAGGAACCAAGTGCATTATCACTCACATGTTCTGCTGCATGACAGAAGGGGAGAGAACGGAGACAGTCTGCGTACAAAACCACTTCTCATATTCTTTTTATATAACATAAGCTTAAACCCATGAATATTTGAACAGTGCAATTGATACATGCTTGGCTTAATCCAGTTAATGTAAAGAAAACCACCTAGTGAGCACGCACCGCTGACCCAAGCTGTTCTGTAGCACAATGATGTTGCCTTGGCTGGCCTCATAGCCAGATTTGGCTTGCCAATCTTGTCCTGCTTTAGGTCATCTCCAAGCAGGTTAACTGTTTACCTGACTTATTTGCAGAGTGGGCAGGAGTAGTGTAGAGTGGGAGGATAGGGATGGATGATTTTATTTTTGTACCAAATTCCTGTGAAGAATTAACAGACAAGGGCTTGTGTCCAGCTTAGAGGGCTGGAAGCCTGATCAGACCAGTAAAAGATGAAGGACATGGGGTCTGTGCAGGTGCACCTTGAAGACAACARTTGAAGGTGCGGCTGGAGCAGCTCTGTGCCGGCTGCATAACAGCCTGTCTGCCTGATGTGTGTGACCTGAGCAACTCTGTCCATCTCCTGCATTTCGTGTTACTGAAAACTATAATGCAATATTTAAAACTGTTGCATGTAGGGTTTTTTTCTGACTATTCAAAAGAGTAGCTTATATTCTGCTTTAATAAATAGGAAAAAATGCTTTTTCTACTGTAAAAATGACAAACATTTCCACTTTCAGATATCATCCTATCCTTAGTGTAGGATAGTATTTTTAATATTCTTTAGACATTTAAGACTTGTCTTCATAGGGATGATGACTGATGAAAAATTAGTCATGCATTTAATGGCTTGTTTGCAAAAATCAAGCCCATATTTCAAAGCATTATGCTTCTGTGCAGAGAAGTCTGTATAAACAAGCCCTTAAACTTATGTTTATTGAGTTTCGAGCACCATTTTATTGTGGGTTGAAAGAGAATCTCAGGTTTTACTGGCTAGCATGGTAAAAAGAASAAAGCGGGGATTGCCAGGCACCTATCTGCTGGCTTTGGAGTCTTTCTGCTCTTCCTTCCTAATCCCTGCCTTTTTATTTGATTGAGATCAATTACTATAGCATTGCATGTACCAGCCAAATCAATACAATAGTTAGTAAGAGCATCGATTGAGTTTTCAGGCTTTATCAGTGCTGTTGGCTACTCTTTCAACACCATTGGATCCTTTACTGGTTGTCTGTTTGTAACAAAATGAAAATCTGGAGTTACATTGGTTTTTGCTCCACACTGCTGTAGGAAAAGAGTTAAATTTGGTCATGCTCAGTCCTTACTGGGAAATAACCCAGTATTTTTTTAGCAGAGTAGAAAAATTAGTCATGCATTTAATGGTAGGTTTGCAAAAGTCAGATACTTTCTTCAAGGCATTATGTTTC